AAAGAAAGAAAGAAAGAAAGAAAGAAAGAAAGAAAGAAAGAAAGAAAGAAAGAAAGAAAGAAAGAAAGAAAGAGAGGAAAGTGCTTCATTGAGACCTAAGGAACACAAGAAGACGAGTAATCCTGTGAAAGAAAGAAAGAAAAAAAGAAAAGAAAAAAAAAGTGCTTCATTGAGACCTGAGGAACACAAAGAGGAAGAGAGGAGTAAGGGCTGAGGAGTGGGCCCAGAGGACCCTCTAGGCCTTGGAGCTTCTGAGTATGAGAACCACGGAGCAGTTGTGCAACTTAGAAAGAGGGCTCAGGCACAGTGCAGGAAGTGAGGCCGTGAGGACACACAGTGGTGTAACACCAGCACAAGGAGCTGGGTGATCTCTAGCAAAGCTACCCATGCAGTCCTTCTCTGACCCCCATTTCCGGAAATCTAGCCTACAGCTAAGCCTACACATTTGCAAAATGTCTTAGGTATGAGATAATTCAACAGGGCACTGAAATGACCAAAAATGGAAACAGCTTATGTGTCCATCAGAAGATGGTACGTCCACCAAGAGAGTTACACAGGTGTAAAAAGGAAGAGGAGGGAGAGAAAGGACTCTATGGAAGGATATGGAAAACTTTCCAGGGCATTACTGTTATTTTCTTTCTTTCCCTTCCTTTCCCCTCCCCTCCCCTCCCCTACATCTCCCCTCCCCTACATCTCCCCTCCCTCTTCCCCTCTCCTCCCCTCTCCTTTCCTTCCCTTTCCTCTCCTTTTCTTTCTGTACCAAGAATCAAACTCAAGACCTTGTGCTTGCCAAGCAAGTGCTGTGCTGCTGAACTATAACCCCCACTGGATATTACTGTTACATGAAAAGCAAACTGCTCATCAGGCTGTGGAGGAAAGTGAAGGATACACAATTGCATTTGCTTGTATTTTTAGGAAGAAACAGGACACCAACCAAGTGGCTCCCCATTAGCAGGCAGGAGGAGGGAAGGACCCAATGAGAAGGGTGGCAGCAGAGCTAGGAGAGGAATTCCCCACCAATGTCCTTTCATCAATTATTTTGAACTGTGTGAAGAGCTATTCAAACATACATTTAACTTAAAAAAACAAAAAAGAATGCAAGAAGAAAACACAGAAGGGCCAGGGAGATGGCTCAGTGGAATAAGCGCTTCTCTGGCAAGTGCAAGGGCCTGAGTTCAATCCCCGGTTCGGGAAAAAAAAAAAAGAAAGAAATCACAGAAGCCTTTGCCAGAGAAGCAGCAGTTAAGATGCCAGATGAACAGCAGGGCTGAGATCAGGCCCCCGGGAGGCTACAGCGAAGAGAAGGCTGGCTTTGAACAGAAAGGAGGCTCGGTCTCTGAGGGATGCAAGCATGAGAGATAGGTAAGACCCCTGTAGCACAGGCCTTCCACCCTCTGCCCTGTCCCACTCTCCCTGCATATCTGTTTGCCAGCTTCCCCTGACACCCACGCCCTGGAGCAGCCTGGCCTCTGAAGGAGCTCCAGGCCTCACCTTGATGCCCTCGATCCGGAAGCCCAGGGTGGAGGTCGAGCTCATGGTCTCCCTCCACTGCATGTAGCGGGGCTTGGTGACCGCACCCTGGGCATGCTCCTCGGGGGTAGGGGCCCCGGGGTCCACAGCCACCATCTTCTCATACATGTCCTTCCGTGGCCTGGGCCACTCCCGTGCCTTCACCAGCTCCTCCTCCAGGTAGGTCCTGAGCATAGAGAAGATAGGACCAAGAGAATCATGAAGCACAGAGCCAGGAGCCCTACTCCCTGATATTTCTTTCATTCATTCATTCATTCATTCATTCATTCATTCATTCAGATTTTTTAACGCCTGGTCTTACTCAGGCTGCTTCAAACTGCTAGCAAACTTCCTGCATCAGCCTCCCAAGAGCTGGGATTACAGGCATGTGCACATACTTTTTTGTGTGTGTGGTACCAGGGGTCATACTCGGGACCTTTTACATGCCAGCCAGGTGCTTGTGCCACTGAGCTGTCTCCCTGGCCCCACACACATACAATTTTTTTAGTGTTTTATTTTTGTCTTGTTGAGACAGGGTTTTCCTATGTAATTCAGCCAGGCCTTGAAATTCCTGACATTTTATTTTTATTTATTTACTTAGTTCTTTGCGTTTCTTTTTTTTTTTTTTTTTTTTTTTTGGTATTGGGAATTGAACTTGGGACCTTTTGCTTGCCAGACAGGCTCTTATTCCACTGAGCTATAGCCCCACCCTGAGCAACCTGGCCTCCTGACCACTTGTGCAATTGAGGCTGTTTGTTTTATTTTTGAAACAGGGTTGGGGCAGGGGAGATGGTTCAGTGGAATAAGTGCTTCCCTGGCAAGCACAAGGGCCTGAGTTCAATCCCCGGTTCCACAAAAAAAAAAAAGAAACAGGGTCTTGGCATCTCTCTACACATTCAGGCTGGCCTTGAAATCAGTATATAGCCTCGAATACGCTACCTTGAATATGTCACCACACCTGGCTATTCTTGATATTTTAAAGCTACTGTGTAGCATAAGCATGGACAAATAGACTAGAACTGAGTCCACAGACACATGCAGGCACATTCATCAGATTTGTGACAAAGGACACACTGCAATTCAACATGAAAAGGGGAAGACTTTGCAATAAATGCTGCTATGTCAATAGGCATGGCAGCACACGCCTGTAATCCCAGCCTTGATGTATTCAAGGCTATATGCTGAGTCCAAGGAAAGCTGAGGCAGGAGGATCACCATTTTCTTTTTTTTTTTTTATTGTGTGTGTGTGTGGCCAGCTCAGCCCACCAGGGGGCGGGTCTGGCTGGCATGTGGTGCTGGGGATCGAACCGTGGTCCCTGTGCTTTGCCAAGCTTGTTTCAAGTAGGTGCTTTAGACCACTGAGCCATCTCTCCAGCCCCAGGATCACCATTTTCAAGGCCAGCCTGGGCTACATAAATCAGTTCAAGGCCAGTCTGAACTACACAGTGAGACCCTGCCTCCAAAAAAAAACAGCCAAATGCCCACCACCTGCCTCCTACCCTGCTCTAGGGCTGCCCTGATCCTACCTGCTGCCCATCTTGCAGTCCATGATGGAAGGACCCTCAAAGTCAGCCAGGAGATCTTCCATCTGGTTGAAGTCCTGGCCATCCTGCTGCACCATGCCATAGTAGGTCGGCACAAAAGGCCGCAGGGGGTCTCCCATCAGCTGTTCCAGGCTGTGCTGCTCACACTGACAGAACCGTTTCAGAATCCGACCATTCTCTCCTGCCTGGAAGTTCCCTGTGAACAGAACCAATGAGAGGGTCAGAAACTGGATCATACAGAACCCCACTCCCCCAGTCAGTCTCCCTATATGCCTTGTATCCAGGCCACCTTCCTCCAGCATGAGTCTCCTGCATGCTCTCTCTCCCTCCCTTCAACTCTCAAAATCTTGGCCTGGTGTGGAAAAGGCAGGGCTGACTTCAGTTCTCTGTTGCTTAAGCTGTCTTACTCACAGCATAGTGTGTCCTTGTCTATTTTGTAATTTAGGGCCGAGAGCTCACAACTATGGGAATCTCGGGAGATCTGAGTAGAGAGCGTGATTTTCCAGAGTTGATTTGCATCGCTTCTGCCTGGGGCTCCAAGGTGGTTTATAAGTCTGTCATTTCCTGGGCCACGCAGACAGCGAGTGTAGACTGGAATTCCTAACTTTCATCATGACACACTCTACTTTCAGATATTTCCCAGGACGGCCACCACAGTATCTCCAGGTCTACCTAAGATGTTTCCTCTACAGCCTTTCACTTCAGGTGCTAAGTGCTAGGTACTTATATTTCCCTGTGCTCAGAGGCATAGTTCAGCTTCTGTTTGATGAAGGCCCGTCATGCTCTAGACATGGGAATGGGCAGGAGAATGACAGAATGCACCTGCAGGAGGCAAGGTCTCAATCTCTGCGACTTTTTTCTTTTGTCATGTCATGCTGGGAATTAAATCTAGGGCCTCCCACATGCTAGGCAAGTGCTCTCGCAACTGAACCGAAGCCCTGGCCTCTAGAGACATTGTTTTTGTGGTACTGGGGATTGAACTCAGGACTTGATGTGTGCTAGCCAAGTACTCTCTCACTAAGCTACAACTCTAGCCCTTTTTAAAATTTTTGTTTTTATTTATTATTTATTTATTTCTTTTGCAGAACCAGGGATTGAACTCAGGCCTCTGCACTTGCCAGGGAAGGGCTAATTCCACTGAGCCATCTCCCTGGTCTCCAGTTTTTATTTTTGTTAATTAATTAATTTTTTTTTCTTTTTTTTTTGAAACAGGGTCTCATGTAGTTCAGGCTGGACTTGAACTTACTATGTAGTCCAGGCTGGCCTTAAAATGAAGAGAATCCTGCCTTAGCCTCCCACCCTGTGACGTTGTAAGTCTGATCACCACCCTCCACCAAGCTTTATTCTGAGACAGGGTTCTGGTAAATTTCCCAGGCTGGCCTTGAACTTGTGATCCTCCTGCCTCACCTTCCCAGCTGAGATGATCAGTATGTGTCACTGCCTCTGGCTATATTTTGATTTTGAACTCTTCCTTTAACACTCACTATAAGAGAGATAAGATTAGTTTTGTATCAATGGAAAGGAACAAGAAAACTGACAAGGAAAATAACCTGCCCAGAGGCACCTGTAAATACTGAATAGAAGTAGAATTGGAACCAGGCCTCTCCAACCCAGAGATGAGTCCTGCCACCTACCAGAGCACAGCACTAGGAACCAGCTCCCATCCTAACCTACAAATGGACATTAAGCCCATTTTACAGACAGAGAAACTAAACCAAGAGAACAGCTCTTTCCCTGGCACAGGAACCTTCACCCGGCACTGCCCACCCTCCACCATGGTTCTCACCAGCATGTCCAGAAAGCTGGACCCAAGCGTAGTGTTTACGGAACGAGACCACGAAGGGCGAATACTTCAGAACCGTCTTCAGCTTCTTCCAGGGTTTACTCTGTGTGGGGCAGAGCAGGATGGGGTCAGGGCCAAGGCCTTGGAGGACAGCAGCTGAGAGTGCTGCCATGAGGGAACCAAGGACCCAGGTGTGGTGGCACGTGCCTGTAATCCCGGCACTTGGGATGCTGAGGCAGGACAATCGTTGCTAGTCCAAGGCCAGCCTGAGCTGCATAGTGAGACCTTGTCTCAAAAAGACCAAATTTTTTTTAAAAGAGAAAATAATTAAAAATTTAGAAGTTCAG